GGGGGGGGTCTCTCCGTCTCATACCTTGCTTGCATACCTATGAAACTTTTGTGCAAAGAAGTGAACATGCATCAATAAAAACTGATTATACAAAAATCTTTTTAAAAAAAGAAAAAGCAAAGGTCAGGAATATTTTTTGGAACCTTTTATGAAATGGTTGTTTTCCTTGAAAAGGTTAAAAACAATTTAAGTCAATAACAAATAGCTAGAAAAATGCATAACTACAGCACAGTGAACAAAACTGTATTTTTGGACGGTAGCCCTTTTCATAAAATGCTACATATAGTTCCACCCTTGGTACTCTGAGAACTAGCTAAAAGACACGGTGAAATGCGGACCCTGCTAAATGCAACAAAACGAAACCATGGATGGCAGCATGCACTTCACTCACATCAGATGTCATTCTTGGTACTGTCGAGTTCTCTGCACCAAAAAATGTCAAGTGAGGTGCAGAATCTATACGCATTCCTGACTCACCACTAACCAAGACATGACCCTGTTCGGTGTTCGCACTGCACAAAAATTTACCAGCATACTCGAGGAAAATGTTATGGGGACAATGCATGCACTTCTTCACTGCACGCAAGCAAAGTGGCGTTTGCATAAATTTCCACATACTGTACAGAATACACTCTTCTCCCTTGGATTGCTGAAGAACTTCAAGCAATGTTAAATTTGCAAAAAAGTACATGAATTAGTGAAAGATTTTATCTGGAAGATCCAAGGCATGAAGTGAATTTAAAAATCTATTAACACAAATTAAGATTTGAAATCTAAAATTTTTCTACCCCTCCCATATTTTGCAAGCAATGTTCCACAGAACGCTTTGTACAATGAAATGTGTTTCGACCTCTTTATAACCGTGTATTTCTGTAGACCCTGTTGGCAATTTTTCAAAAAAATCCCAGTTTGTGAACTTCTCCTTTTCTGTTGGAATATTATTCACTCAACTCACAAAACCTGCTTCACATGTTTGCATTCTGTGTGCACACTTTAAACCGACGAATCAGTTGTTTCTGCTTGAATACATTCTATGCAAGAACATAGGACTTTTAAAACTAGTTGTGGCTTTCCAAAATTTGTGGACAATTTCTAAATTATTTGTCCTTTGACACGGTTTAGATGATTTGTGGGTGCTTTTAGTGAAACTGAGTCACAAGCCACAAGAACTACTTGTGTGACTGGACAAATGAAGCAAAAACATTTGAGAAATTTTCAGGTGAGAATTCTTAGCTCCAGTTAGAAAACTGTGGAAAATAGCCAGAAAAAAAACCCAAAATGGCTCTCAATATCTGATGTATTTGAACACTGTGACGCAAAAGTAGCTACTTGTATGAGTACAAACCGAGGCTTGCGATTTCCCTGCTGTTTTACACCGTGTCCGAAAGATATGGCTAAGGCTAGCAGACAGCACACAAACTTAAAGAAGCCACCAGCTTGTGGCTGCGGCTACTTCTCATAGACGTATGTGTTCCTCCCAGCCCCAGCCGGTTTGATTCAAACAACACCTCACCAGTGTCACCTTGCAATCCGACCCTGTGCTCCTGGTCATGCAGTCCCAATCTCAACAGGACGTGGTCGGGTTGATGAGGGGCGAGTCGTAGACCCAGTCCACCGGCACCCACTGCCGCTTCGAAGCCATGTCCTCGATGGCTTGCTGGAGTTGGAGGAAAGTCTCCTCCAGGTTGCTGTTGACAATGACTACATCAAAGAGGTGGTTGTGCGCTCGCTCCAAGCGGGCGCTCTCATCCACCGTCTTCTGAAGATCCTGGTCCTGTGTCATACAGAACAACGAATTCCAGATACAATCTTTAAACTCCCAAAAAACATTTTGGCCAATAACTTTCTTGGATCTTCTTGAATTTTGCCACTCTGATGGAAACTAATGGCACATTTCCCCATCTGGGATGCCAGTGGGTTCTCAGCCCATGGCCAGAAAATTTCGATAAAGTATTATGGAAAAAACGGGTAAAGTATGTACATTGTGCGTGTGCGTTTTGACTAAAAAGAGCTGTACATAACGAACACCAATGGCTTAAAACACCCGTGCGTCCTAAATTGTAATGTTGAAGGACCCTGGCCTTTATTTTGCTTGTAAATGTGTGAACACTTGAGTTGCTTTTCTTGTGTGGCTAGCGATAACTTACTGGCAAAAAGACTATAATCTGGCAGCACACAATGCACTGTGCTTTCCAGTCCAAAATGAAACAACCATTGCTGTCTTCTGATTCAAGCCAGTGTCAGTTGAACTTATTTTTAAACTTCCGTTTATTAATCTTACATTTTCAGCACATTCAACTTCAATTCTGACATATTTAGAAGTTGAACTTAAACCTTTTGGTAGGGCTTCCATATGATCCACACATAAAAGATTCTTCCAGTGTGGGCCACGCCAAAATGAGAGATCGATTGTACTATTGCTCAGTTGCCAGTTGAATGTAGACAAAAACACACACTCTAATTCCCCTCATTGTGGTGAACTACTTGTCGGACATGTATGCCAATACAATAAAGATCTTATGACAACTTGGACTGGAATACTGCTTACCGTGACTTGTTTCTCCGTCTCCCCGGCAGCTTTAGCAGCCTCGTGGATCATCCGGAGGGACTCCAGCTCAGGAGCTTTGATGAATACCACCAATGGAAGGAACTCACTGTTTCTAAGCAGCTTCAGCGACTACAAAAAAAGAACGTCACACATACACTCCCCTTCTAATCCTTACATCCACGACACTTTAGACTGAGAACACTCCCGAATCCAACAAAATCCTACAGCTGTGGGAGAAACTGGCAGCACACGCCTGGTACCCGTGGTCATTTGGGAAAGATCCCATGAGATGAATCTTAAGGCCAGGTGAAAACGAACACATTGAATGTGCAACATTCTTTTGGCCTTTGCCCCAGAAGTGGCTCTGATGTCTGTGACTCAATTTGTTAGGTTGGTCACATTGAAATTTTCGAGGGGCCAGAAATAAGCCAATGCGGCACAGAGGGTAAGATGGCAAGTGATGGCAAGTGACTCAGGGCTGACTTAAGGGTCATTTCTACAAATACGCTGGTCGAAAGCATGAAATTTTTGTGTCCCTATTACATCTGACCTTTGCTATTTGAAATGGAAACATCGCTGAAATTTTGTTTTCATGAACACAGAAGACACTCTTTCCAGGTACTAAATTTTTCTCATTCCTTTCCAGTAGATGTATAGGTAAGCACTTTCATGAGTTTTTTTAACTGCATCAATGACATGGATTATAAATTTTTTAATGATCAGAAAGCTATGAAGCTCTAGTTTCCTTTATAGCTGGCTTAGCTCATGTTGCAAGAAACTGAAGATAAAAGATGTTTTAGCAGGGTAGCAATGATTCAGTGGGGTGACTTAATATGTTAGCGGGGCCGGCCGGCATCTTAAAACCCCCTCAGTGAGATCACACTGGAGGTCTACTTAATGAACAGGTACCTTTCTGTGGGCAAACAAAATTGACCAGAGGGTCTCGCATAGTAGGGGGATGCATGTAGGAAAGGCTGCTTACCTGGGGGTTGATATCGAGCACGCACATCTTCCCTGATCGATTGACGGCGCGGATGGCGTCGTACGTCGTCCCGTACAAGTTGTCTGCGTACTCGCCGTACTCCAGGAAGCGGTTTTGCCTGATGTCATCTTCCATCTCTGGGCGCAAGGCAAAGTAGTAGTCAAGGCCATTCTCCTCTCCTTCCCGGGGCCGACGAGAGGTGTCTGATTGACAAAAAACGGAGCACAGGCAATGAAAATGTGTGGCAACAGTTGAATGCCATTGTGTATTGCTCGTTTGTAACTAAAATGTCCTCTCCCCTCCCCAATATTAAGACTTCTTTATCATTCTTAAACAAAGGTTAACAAAAGAAAAAGAATGCACGCTATTGGCCAAAAGGAAGAAAACACATTTTGACACACAGAACAAGACTAGGTCACGGCAAAAAGCAAAAATTTGGTTGACTTTTTCTCCTCAAACAGCTATAAGACCAAAGCTTTATCCTAAGATGACATCACTGCTTTACCACAAGTATGAGAACACCAAAGAGGTCCAGAGAAACCTCCCTTCAAAATAACCCAGTCAACCTGAAAATCAGTGTGGAAACGCAATACAGATGAATTTAAGGATTTCAATGGAAAAAAAAATGCATGTTACATTGGCCCTTTCAATGCATATATGTATGGATATGTACACATGCAATCTCTACAGGCATATGCACAGTGTCTGACAGTGTACAATCCCCAGTGCTCCCAGCATTTCAAAATTTCAACATTGGTGCCCAAGCACTCACGGGCCACAGCAGTTCCAAACCGCCTGTAGTCTGAGTCGATTAGCTTGTTCTTCAAGATGCGTCGGCCGACCCCCTGGGCCCCCAGCAAGACCAGGGTCTTGCGCTGGAAGGGCGGCATCTCCTGTACCTCCTCGTAGATGACGATGTCGCTGCGGTCAAACACGTAGTTCTTGCGGGTCTGGTAGCGTTCGTGCCGGCGTCGCTTGCTCTGGATGAGACCGCAGGCTACTGTTGTCCACCCAAATGTACAACAATGGTTAAACATTTATCAGCAGAATCTCCAAGCCAAGCCAAGGTTCACAAAGCACTAAGAAAAAAACCACACCTTAGCAACAATATAAGCAAGCCAAATTGGCAGGGAATGAGTCATGAGCCTCTTCCATGAGGCCTGTGTGTGAGATCCTTCACTAGCTCCTGGCTACATGTACATAAATACAAAACCCAGGCCTGGTGATTATTCAACAAGAACAAGCAAATATTTCAAAGTAAATATGCACAAAACTTTGGGCGATGGTAAAATTTAATTCACGCTGGCATTAACTGCACTCTTGACTGCACTTGGCTCCAAAATATACCTGTCTGCCTGGTATAGATGTTCTCCTTGGGCACAAAAGCGCGTCTGCGTTCCTCCAACTCTGCACTAGGTATCAACCCGGTTGGGCCATCTCTGTTCAATACATAAGCCTGCATCAGAGCAAAACAACTTGTAAAGCACAGCAACATTTAATCTTATAACATGACTGAAAATATGATCACTGTGTCATTAGTCAGTCTGACTGACATGGCGCACTGCAAATTTGACATTTTGGTCAATCATTACAAATAAATGCCATCTTTGCGAGAGTAGATGCTCATATGTGTAAACATGGTGACTTTTTAGGCTGACATTAAGATTTTACCTGCCACCAGTTCTGGTCATCTCGGTCAACAACACAGAGGATGTCGCCCTTCTTGAAAGCGAGCCCAACCTCAGGGCAAGGGAGAAGACTGTCGTGCTCTGGGTTATAATCAAAGAATGCCCTGACATGCACCTGCATGTATGCACAGATACGGAGACATAAGAGAACATGGGCGAAAAAAATATGACATGAGGTATTCACTTTTATCCTACTGATTAAAACAGTTTCCAATGGATGGATTTTATGGATTCATATAGTAAGACTAAAGCAACTACCGCCATTTATAACTACATGTTTGTTGTACAAGGTTTGCTCTTATGGTGGGGTGACATATATATTCACCCTGTTTACTCAGTGTGGTACGAGAGCTGAGAAAAAATTACGAGCTTGCTTGAGAGGATTTGAACCAATGGCTTCCTGCCTACTAGCGCTGTACAAATGTACTTACAGCAAGAAGTCATGGGTTTGAATCCCACCCAACCAAACTTGTGATTTTCACAACTGTCGGACCACAGTGAGTAAACAGTGTGAATATACATGTATACCGGCAGAGCCTACATGTAGACTTGTAGCGTAAAATGCTGATTCAAAGCAGATTATTATCATTTTACTGTGAACAGAATTAATTCCAGACTAAGACTTCCGAGTCCCAATTCCATTCTTTTTCAAGGATCAACTCTCAGTTCTTTTGGAGTTGACACCAGGCATACAGTAAATAATTTTACTGACAGACATGTTGTGTCTCAAAAATGAGGCCTTTCTCATGAAACTTCTACACAGAATACATAACAAGTTGTAGGGAAAGTTGGCATGTATCATCTCTGAAAATTGCAACTGCAGAGAGAAGGTGATGTTGTACATGATCAAATTTGGGAGAATAATTGCGTCTCACCGATCTATCAATGTCAAGTACTACATGTACAGTTCACAGTTTCTTCACAATAAGCCTTTTGCAAGATAACTTTGACCCAAATCTGGTAAACTGAGTTCTTTAAATTTACGTGAACATGACAATTTGAATTCTCCTTACTAAAACCACTGTTGCTATACCTCGTGAGTCAGGGCAAGCTTTTGCTTAGTTACATAAGAGACACCTTGCAACAATACACTGTTCTTAACGGATAAGAAGGGCATAAAGGAACCAGTCCATTCCAGAGATGGTGGTCACTATGCAAAAACTTGCCCTGAATCACAAGATATACCAACAGTGTCTTTCGTCTGGGAAATTCAAATCATTATGTTTATGTGCAGTCAGATAACTCAGTGCACCAGATTTTATTCAAATTTAACTTGCGAATGGCTTATTCTGTTCTAGGAAAACAGAGAGCAGATTTTCATGAGTCCTCAGAATTACCGGTAATTAAAAAATACTTCTGCAGTCCAGAAGTCTGCTTTGGTTTTACATGTAGCTGTTGGATTCAGCTAGTCTTACATCTGTTGTATTGTTCAATTTAAAAGTGAACAAGCACACTAGCTGCAGCAACCTTGTGACAAAAAAACTGTATTCTGTAATTTTACATACAGGCTCCATTGAGGACCAACTTGTAATACGGTTAAAAGATTGGAAAAAGAGAAGCTTCCTGTGTCCCTCCGCACAAATACAGCAAGCTGACACCTTGGTGGAAAATGCCCAACACACGATGCTTCACTTGCACTAGACAAGACATGCTTTTTTATTTCATGACATTTAGTTCTCTTGCATGTGCACGCACTGCATTCTAGCATGTCATGCAAGTGAAGAGACTTTCTGATCTGTTAGCTGCCTTGATGTTACACATACATGTATCTTGATGTTAGCTTGCGGAAATTAAAAGTTCAAACTGTGATGATGTTGTTTAGTCCTCTCAATCATTTCCTCTTCGAGGCACAATACATTAAAAAAAAGCCGTTCACTGCTGTGATGTGGAAAGGTTAATTTGTTTTAACATGGGCATGTCTCTTGGGTGTGAAAAAAACGCCATGTCCCACACCACAGCAGTAAACAATTATAAGCTTTCACATATGAGTAAATGCAACGAGGTTCACGTTAACCTGGACAGACTCTTGCCAAGCTTCAACTCTCACTTTCAATCATGGCAGCAATTATAACTGCAGCACCCTAGGCTTTTTGTATAGCAAAGAGGCTCACCAATCAGCCTAAGTCAAAACCTGCACTGAAAACCCAACCATGTCACTTCATCTGTACTTGTACATACATGTACACTGAATTGAGCCAGTAAGTAACCATGGTTGGCCTCTCCAGTCATGAATCTGTCATGCCCAAAAAAAAAACAGGGCCTAATTTTATGACTATGCTAACTACAAGTGAAGAATTTCTGCTTACTACCATTCTTCTCTAACAGTAAGCGTAATGTATTTTGAAGGTTAGCACAGAAGTCTGGCTCATGTTTTTGTACGTCCACATTCTGTAACTTAGGATTCCCAGCTGGGTCATTCAATAAATTTGGGGTCCGATGTGTGACACTTTTCTGTCCCCATTACACCAGACCTGAGTAATTTTAAAAAATGGTTTATCATAAAAATTATTTGAAACTATTTTTGTTTGGCAGGTACATATACATGTAATTTGTATTACTCAATCACTTTTGGAAATTAAAGAATGAGTTGTGAACTTACAAAAGAATACGCCAAATGTTACAGGGACAGGAAAACACCGAACCCCAAATTTAGTGAATAACCCAGCTAACGCTGCAAGCAACAGACTTAAAATCCTACAGATACAAGTAGAATTCTCTGATTAGCAGAAGTGTTGCATTAAGCCCAACTGTGGCATCCCGGGGAGAGGGGACTTGAGCAACCAACAAGATTCCTCTACCGAAACCCAACTCCTCTGTGACTGCTCCAGCATTAAAGAACCACAGCGATGTTTGCGAGGACCATGTTTTGCCCATGTTACGCCAAAAACCAGAAGCCAATTCATTAAAGCAAATTAGAAATTACACTTTGAGAATTTTTCCCCCAGCAAATTATTTGCAAGAGTTGCAGTGAGCGTGAAAGATTGATGAATAGCATTGAAGAAACATACCGCTCTGCTCATTCTCAAGATGGCCTAAGACAAAAAATGTGGAATCCTTCCATTAAAGAAGACATGTACACATGTAATACAATTTTTTAAGACTCAAAGAATACATGTTAAGAAAGCTTTCTTGCAGCATTAATATGAATTTCCACTTCCTTTGAAATTGTAAAGGGGAGAAACTTCCAAATTTTGGTGGTTATGCTGATGAAATTTCATATTCATGACGAATGCATGATGCCATCCAAGACAGAACAGTGGTGTCTCTGTAGCTCGGTGTACAAACATATATCACACTTTGCTATATTTCCTGTGTACATGTCCCACTTTTATTTGTTTAGCCTTTTAAGCAGCTTTTAGACAATAAACATGGCCAATATTGCTTCAAACTTTGTTTGTATGTAATTTTGAAGGACATTAAAAAACTACAACGGCAAAGCCGCCATGGCTCGCTGCTTGTCATGAATTTGAATTTCTTTCCTGTAATAACAGCTTCCGTTAAGAGACATCCAAGTTATATGAATATGGTAACTAAATGTAAATTATACTAACCAACCTTCATCCAAATTGTTTACAAGATTGGTTGAGATATGACTGCAATACAGATGTACCAGATATTTTATTGACCTCAGCGATAAAATTCATTACACTCTAGGAGAAAAAATCTAGTTAGTGCTGTGAGCCTGTGTGTTGAAAGACACCTGTCGTTTAAAAGTAAATCAACAAAGACCACCAACAAGGGAAATACAGGTACAAAGGCTTCACAGTTCTTCACAGCAGAGAGGAATGCTTATAGAATGTGGGTCCATCTGGTAGAGTCAGACTAGACCTGGATGATTACATAAGCAGTGCATTGTGAGTTTGACGGGTAGAGCATAATCAAAATTCCTCTAAAGTACAGCTCTGCACTTTGTATCCAACCCCATCATCCTATCATCTACAATTCTACCCCCATCATCCATATCCCATCATCCAATCTATCTCCAATCCCACATCCACCTTATCTTTCCATCCATATCCTACTCCACCCCTCCATCATCCTATCCATCTCCTACTCTTCCCCCTCCCCGTCATCCTACCCATCTCCTACTCTTCCCCCTCCCCA